ACTGGATGATCTTTCAAGGTCTCTTCCAACACCAAACATTCTGTGACCTGTGATTTATTTATATATTCCAGTTGCCTCAGTGTTATTTTTTTTTTGCCTTGGAAAAAGAGAAGGCTATCAAGGTGAAAATGTATTGAGTTTTTACTAAATAGCACAGCTTCTGGAAAGATAGCATCAGACATTAACATTATTAACATTAACATTAACAGAATGCATAACAAAAATTAATGCAAATCAATAAAATCTTTCTTTTTCCCCCCCTCAATACATACACTGTTTTAAAGGCTGTGTACGAAGGTTCAAGTGCTGTCAAGTAAGTATAGAAGAAGGGAGAGGAAAGCAGTGGTGGAACCTTAGAAAAACCTGCTTCAGGATTGTAGAACACAACTGGTTTGAGACTTTCATTGTTTTTATGATCCTCCTCAGTAGTGGAGCTCTGGTAAGTAAAACATGAACAGAATGGCACAATATCATCAGAAAACTTCTTAAAAGTTGGCTCTTCAAACATTGTTTTTAACTTAGTTTTCTCTACCAGAAAGAACACACAATTCTCTGTCTTCAAATGACAGGACTAAATTTTAGTCAGGTCTTTGAAAGAATTATAGAAAAAGGTCTCTTCTCAGCAATATGTTGGGGAAAAAAAAAAAAAGAAGAGGAGACATAATTGATTAGAGAGAGTTCGGCTCCTTTGCTGAAAGTGATAGTGACATGCCTGAAGCAGGGACAGCGACAACATGTGAAAAACAGAACAAATTTAACTTTGTTATTTGAGTTTGCTCTCTAGTTTTTCTGGTGTTTACTGATATAACTCGGGGAAAAGAACTGTCACTGCTGAAAATAAAGAAGTTTTGAAGTAACTATAATGGCATAAACAGCTCACAATACCTTGCAAGAGCCAGAACTGGCTTTTACAGTCTTAAAAATGTTATGTGTTAGAACAGCAAGAAAGAGTAAGTTTGTAATTATTCCCTTCTAAGAGTAAGAATTAATTATTGATGCTTCTAAGTACTCATATCTGTAAAATCATGAACTTGCTTTAAATATGTGAGAGCAGAATAGAAAGAAGTCAACCATAATATAAATCTATAACAACAAAGGAAACAAAACACACCAGTAACATGTTTTTTCACAAATACAAATAATGACAAAGAATAAAGAAATTTGAAAGGAACTGTTAAATAAAGGTGAGCCTGGATACAATCTGAGCTGAAGTTTCTTAGGCAAACTACTTGCCCTGAGATAATGTAGAGTCTTGTCTAGCATCTACCTTTTGATTAATTACTTAAGTTCCTATGTCATAAAACAAAATTGCATTTGCAATGTTGTATTATAAACTTTTCAGACCACTCCCAACACTTTAAAATACTGTTAATGGCTAGTAGTCTATGGTTATACCTATCATTTGTTTCGCTTAAATCTTAAAGAATCATTCTGGTTTGCCTTGGCCTAAGATAAATACAGTCATCAAATAAGCAATTTTTACTCAATGCCATGTGACACATTCCCTGTATTTCAAATCCACAAAATAACAAAATACTCACATCTACACTACTGAATTTGGTTCATGCTCCCAAGTGGAGAAGGTCTTTAGAGACAAGAACTTAAATGAGAGAAAAGTACTGGCAAAGATCTGATAAAGGTGTATTTCCATCATTGTATTTAGAAGAAGCTTGAGATGAGATCCCACAATGTTAGCATCTTGTCATCTACAGAATATTTATTCTGTGAAAATGCTTCAGGGTAGTATGCTAGTATTTTATCTCAGTATTCACCTCTAGGCTGCACTCTAGGCGAGTCTCACTGTCATTAGAGCTGGGAAATGTGGCAGGCACAGGCCCACTGCAGGCTGCCTGCAAATCGCTGTCCCAGGGGAACTGGAGCAAGGAGCAGACATTCCTGCCAAGGGTGTGTCTGGAAATAGTATGTGCCTGCTCTTCACCGTTTTGTGAGATAAAGTTGTTAGTGACTACATATGAGTGTCAGGTACCATAATGCCTGATCTAAGTATCCAAAGTTACTGATACACAGATGTGAATTCAATGGCTGACAGACAAACACTAATCATTTGAACTGACAGATGCAAAGATTGAAAAGCAAGCTGGGTAAAAATGAATGTTAGTATCAATAAATATCCAAATCTTTGCAAGCTAGCAGATCATTTCAGTTCTTTCAATACAACAAAATCAATTGTTCTCCATAAGAAACAATAGCATAATTAAAATTTAAAAACAATTCAAGGGAAAAATTCTTGGAGAAGAGAGCAGAAGCTATAAGTTTTTTCAAATGTCTAAAAATGAAAACACACAAAAAACCCTAAGTAACATTGCAAAGATCTCAGAAATTTTATGTATTTCATGAAATGTAACTAATACAGTAAAACAAGTATTTGATTTAGATAAATAAATATTTTTTTAAGAAAGGAAGAACTTGTTTAATGATTTATTACTTAAAATTTTCAAAACACAGCTGGACTTAAAAACATAATATCCATCATATTATCATTGTCCTGACAACTTTACAGCTATGGCTCTGGATATTGAAAAATCTGGATTTTGATCTACCTGCATACAAACCAAATTATCTCAGTAGAATTCAGTTCAGGCACATCACTGTGCAGATTCAGTGTTCTTTGTGAGTACGGAAAATTATTTGAGAAGAATAATTCACTATCAGCAATAAATAAATAAATAAACATCTTTGACCAGTGAAGTGGTTGCTGTATAATACCTGCTTCTCCCTCCTGTGAGATTGAAAATAGAGTTCCATATGGGAAAAACATGTATATACTGAATTCTCAGAAAAGGAAACATCAGACAGAAGTGACACTCCCATGACTTTTCTTGAAGAAAGATTGCTTCCTTTTTTGTTGCCTTTTTGTTTTTGTGGTTACAACATTAAGTATATGCAGTGACAAAAGGGAACAATAAATATCTTTGAATGTGTTTACCCATAGGCTTTTGAAGACATATATATTGAACAGCGCAAAACTATCAAGACCATGCTGGAATATGCTGACAAGGTCTTCACTTACATCTTCATTCTGGAAATGCTGCTGAAGTGGGTGGCCTATGGCTATCAAACATACTTTACTAATGCCTGGTGCTGGCTGGACTTCCTGATTGTTGATGTATGTAGTACATCTACTATGTGTTACTTTTATATTTATCTGGGTTTTTTAATCTTATTGAAATCATAATATCCATAGCAGCCATCTTGTGAATGTGAAAATTCAACAGATTTGTGTGAAGGTATAATGCATATCCAGGTCTCTGAATAAGCTCATTATTACATCCTGGATTTACACACCTCGATATTTTTGTTTAATTTGTCTTTAGATTATGGCAGCTTGAAAGTCTGAAAGTTTTCAGTAATATGATGAATTAGCTGGATGAAAGAAATTCAGGTTTCAGTAGGATCTAGTTTTGTGGGTTGCTAAATCTCAGGTTTGGCAAGTACAAAAAAGCTATTAACTTTTAAAAGCTAAAGATTTCACATATAACTCTTGTTTTTAAATATGGTTCATAAAGAGCACTATCCTAGAGTTCTTTCTACCTGATGCATTATTCCTTATAGTGAAAGAGTACATGAGATCATTGTGCCATTTTTTTGCCAAATAAATACATAAGCCGTTATAACAGTGTAATGAAGGAGCATTTAGGAGAAATGAAAACAGAAGGTAGTATTTTGGGCAGGAGCCATAACAAATGTAGAATATTCTCACTGTATTTTCATAGTGTTTCTCACTGAGGTAATGTAAGGATGCAGAACACATAAAGGCCTGTGGATATAAGACTTTATTGCACCTGCTGCCTACGGAACTCTTTCTATAAGGTCTTTAAGAAACCACATAATCCAGGTTAATGTCAGACTGTAGAGCACATAAATTCAGCAGCCAGGGAAAAGGAATAGTCAGTGTAACTGAATATAAAAAAAACAATCCTTTCTGCCAATTTCCAGAGGAGCAGTATTGCTCTGTGACCCATCTGTTAATTCAAATCAGGCTTCAATCTTTTCCTGTTCAGTTGTAAGCAATCAAATGGGCAACATCAGCTGTAATTACTGATCCCAACAGCATTGTAAAACAAAGCAAAAGTGAGAGCAATACTTAAATTGGTAAAAAGGAGAGATCAATTCAATGTGTTTTGTGGTTTTAAATGCCCTCAAATCACCAGCAAAATATGAAATTCAGAAGAATTAATGTTTCCAGATATTGTTACCTTATGATGTTTTTGTTTCTGTATTCATCTATCCTACTCTTCTTTCATACTACTTCTTTTTTTTTTTATTTAAAAGACTTCCTATTCCTGAAGAAAGTGAACCAAAATTAGATTCTTCTAAAGAAGTTTATGTCTCACATCTATGGTATGTAAAGTAGTGTGTACAATATAATAATTTTTACTTTCCTGTTTTCATATAGGTCTCTTTGGTTAGCTTAACAGCAAATGCATTGGGTTACTCTGAACTTGGTGCCATTAAGTCCCTTAGGACACTAAGAGCTTTGAGACCTCTAAGAGCCTTGTCACGATTTGAAGGCATGAGGGTAAGACAACATGAAAGAATCTGAAACTATGCATGCATAGAAAGAACCCATGCATGCAGAATAAGGAATGACAAGTCCATGCAGAAAGGCTGCACTATCTTTTTATCTATTGCATATCTTTTACTAACAGATAAGCAAAAAGCTTCATCAGTCCACCTAAATCCATATGCAGTATCACATAGAAGTTACATTCATTAAGGTTACTTTACTTTCTAGCCAATCTCAGGAGTTTTCCATATAAGGCTTTGAAATTACCAATTATGAACTCTCTTAACGGATGCTTTATAATGGATAAAATGTAACAAGATTTTATTAATTTTTTAAATGATAAACATATCACAATATTTATACAGGAATCTAATTTAGTGTTAGTTAATAAAGATATTTTCTGTTACCAGTTGAAATCCTTCATTTTTCTTCATATCTGATAAACCACCTTTGGTATAAGCTCACTGGATTTTACTAGATGGTACTAGAGATATATTCATACCTGCTAGTGGTTTAAATCTATTTCTGAGTTTGGCTGACTTTAAAAACAAATCAAGTTATTTGGTTTCTCTTGAAATTATTCTATTTGTAAGGTAAATGCTTTTATTATTTCAACAAATCTCTATTCAGTAGTCAATACAAGCTTATTTCTTTCTTATTCCGAGTAATTTAGAGGCCCTGCTTACTATTCATCTCACTCAAGAAAGCATTTTAACTTATTTTTTCATTTGTTTATACCTTCTGTTCCTTAAAGCCACTGAATACAAACTAACTCTATATGCATGTCATTGAAATATATTTTAAGAGAATGCTTTTTGCTACTTGATGGAAGCATAAGAGGAAACAATGCACTAATGAATTTCAAGTCAACCATAAATCTGGGGAATAGCCTGGAATATACTGTCTGAACAACCTTTAGGTACAAATCTAAGCTTAATCAAGCCAAATTGAGGCTTAGAATTCTGTTCCTCAGATTGTATTCATCAGGCTACATATTTCTACTTCAGAATGCATCAGAAAAAATATTGTTAGCCAATGATTACTAGATTAATAAATTTCAGTTTCGTATAGCAAATTGACTTTTAACAGTTTTCTCATTTGAAATTCATGAATTGATACTCAGCAGGGGAAGAGCTGGTCAAGTACTAAAGAATGTATGAATTTTTATTTATATTTGGAATGACTATTTGATTTAGCCATTTTCTCTTTGTACTTACTGTTCATGAACATTCAGATAAATATGGTTTTGTGCAGAAAAATGCTGGGAAATTGCTGTCAGCTTTACTTTTTTAATAATGTTCTGGTCAGCTGCAGGAGGATGGGGAGACCAGTATAGAAGTTACACAAGGACAGAAATGCAGCTCTTTAGATGATATTGGAAAAAAACCAGATCATTTCTAGAGAGAAAATGTGGAAATTTATTGCAGAAATAAATTGTTTTATTCCATTTTTCTGTATGGAAACCTTACATGATTGCCGTAGTAAATTTTCCACTTACAAGACTTAGGATATTCATGCTCAAAGAAAGTACCTGTTATTTGAAATCTATTTACTGCTTTCCCTTATGTCTCACTGAGTATCTATGAAACTATGCCAGAAGCCAAATCATATGATAGAATTTCAGATACCAACATGAATAATTCACGAGCAACTTACTGTGTAGGAATCACAGACACACCTGGAAAAGCAAAAAATCTTCTGGCTCTCTCCTCCAATATTGATGTTAATCAAGGAGAACCTAATTCCAGACACTTAGCAAATTTGACTGGCCATCTCTATAGGCCTTATCATTACTATTAGTTACACACACTTCTGAAAATGGTTTTTCCAAAGCACTTGGCAAGTATTTGTGACAGCCGACTGACAGATAGTAGCATTACTTTATGAATGACTCACGAACAGTAAAAAGATTCAAATAACAAATAACTGACCAGCTCATGGTAAGACTATAGTCAAATTATAGTCCTCTCAGAAACTGAGTTCATTTCAGAAAAAAAAAACTATAAAACCAGATTCTTTTATCTGCCAACAGAAAGTAAAAATAAATCAACACTGTTTGCTTTCTTATATTGCCTATACCTACACTGAGCTGTGACAAAACAAGCTGAATTTTTATTCAGCACCTATTTACAGTTTTAACGTTTACCACCATGTTCAAAACTGCAAGTTTTTCCTTGAAAATATAACAGATCATAGGTATTCCACAAAAGTGGAATGTATGTAAAACATACATGTAAAACTCTGCATCCTTTTGTAAAACAATCTGCTAAGTTGTCGTCTACTTTAAATCAAAGTTTTTCTTAAATAGTTTACCATTCTGATGAACTGGAAGAATACAGCATTTTAAATAGTCAGTAAATAGTAAAAACTATTCTGTTATCCCTAAATACATTTTTAGAAGTCTTCAGTTATACTCTGTAGTTAGAAATTGACTTTTTGTTGTGCTGTTTCATAAATGGGATAAATTATCTTTCTAAAGTGGATATAAAAGATATTGATCACTTGCACCAAAATAAGGTACAAGGGGTCCATAGCCTGTGCTTGCTTTGAGCACAGAAGTGAATTTTTTGCTGTGTCAAGGCATTTAAAATACCTGCTAGTATACTGATTTCTGAGAAAATTTAATACTTTCTATATTGAATCTCAAAACCAACTCCACCCAGATGCTGGAAGGCAAAGTAAAGAATTGCTTTAATTTAATTTAAATTTCTGTCTCAGGGTTTATATTCTCATCTCAATTAGTGTATGTACTGAGTAGAAGTATCTGCAAACTGAGATTTGAATATACCCAATGCTTTTTGTTTAACTTTTTAGTACTTGCAATACAATGCTTTTGCGCTAGTTCTGAATTGGTATGCTACTTGTAAATGTAGAATACTGAGTATACATTGCTTTGCTAAGTTAGAGAATTAAATGACAATAAAGCATGCATTTGTGTCTAATTTCTCAATATAAAGCATGTCATGCCGTGCTTGATTTATTTATTAGAGAAATAGTAGAAGGCAGCAAACAATCTGAAATCCACTTGCGCTTTCAGTTTTGCATGCCTTATGCATATTTCTGGCTGATGGCTTTAAACATTTACTGTATTTCAAATTTCCAGTCCAATTTCATAACTTGTAAAACTAAATTAGAGTATTTGATGTCTTAAATATTCTCTAAAATTCAATGGCTATTCCTTAGATCCCCTTACTAGGAAAGCGTTAATGAGGCATTTTCAAGAATACTCCAGACTTCATTAGTAGAAAAGAAACATTTCTCATATGATTGAGTTACAAAACATAACATCAAGTGTCTGTCATTACAGATTCACAACTAATAACAGGCTATATATTTCTATTTCGTATAGGATAACCCTTCTTCAGCTTGGATGGGGTGGACCACTGGTTCCTCCCCTTATCTGTATTATGGGTACAGTATTTTGCCCTTTTCTACCCTCAATTATTACAGTGTGACTAATCACTGCATTGTGGTTTTAGGGCTAAAAGGAGAAACAATCTTTGAGAATCCTAGTAGGACCAAAGTAGATAATATATATTCACTCTTCACCCCCTTCTTAATTGCCTTAAATCTTTGGAAATAATCCTTTGAAATTTTTGATGTTATAGAAATACCATGAAAAATTTTGAGTATTTTTATTTAGAGTTATCTGAGTTCTTTTGGCAGGAGAAAGGTACCTCAGCTAGTTTTAAATTTTTAGTTGTTTTGTTTGTTTGTTTTTTAACTGAGGTAAAAAATGGCTTTCTTTAAAATATTTGAATCTGGCTTTTGCATTGTTTTGGAAAGATCTGTGCTTTACTCTGTTACTCAATGTATAGCTACATACATTCAAAAAAATCCCATAGAAAGTTTCGAACATTATTTGTAATACCTTAAGCACACACCAAAGTACTATGATCTGAATATTCCCAACTATAGGTATTTATATAATTTCAGTTTAAATGTTTGCATAATTTTTAAACCCCTATATGTGACATTAAGTAAATAACTCCAGATGTATATAGATAACACGAGTCATCATACAACATATAAAATCCTTTTTGTGAATTTGAATTCAGTCTTCTTTGGCCAGTGATAACAAAAGGTAACTGACACAAGTTTGGTTATAGGAAATTCTTATTTGATATAAGAGATTTTGGGGAGGTTTGTGTATTTTCTTCTTGTAATTCTTTCAGGGGGAGTGGGGGTGTTTTATTTTTATTTGGGTTTTTTATTGTTGTTTGGCTTAGTTGATTCTTTTTTCTACAGTGAGGCCAACACTGGAACAGCTGAGCATAATGTTTTATAGATCAAGCATTCATACAAACATGGTGTACCACCCTGATTTCTGTTTGTGGGGCAAAGTTACGAGAGTTTCTCACAAGAAGTCCATTAAGAGACATATAAAGTGGAGTAATTAATTGAAAATTAGAAGACTTTAATAACTTGGATAAATTTACGTTTTAAGATTCACCAAGTTCCTCCTTCTAATCATTATTTGGATCATGTCAAGTAGGTTGCACATTCACAGAAATATTTTTCATCCTTTATTGTCTCTAAAGCCAGTTCATAGCTGATCATCAAGCATATGCACCATGGTTCTTCCCAATGTACCCATTTTAAGCTACCCAATGAGAAGTACATAGTTTTGAGGCGTCTTGTTAAACTATGTAGTGACAAGTAAAAGAATTATTGCAATCTCTGTCTCTCTTCCTCTGGTTTTCCTCTCCCTTTCTCCCTTTCTCCCTCCCCATTCTGTCCTTATCTGCTAGGTTTCATTGCAAGATGGTTTACTATCTGATACAAATGTTGGAAAAATGTAATAAATTTTCTTGATTACGTCTGAATAAAAGTTCCCATCTACATTACTGCTGTAGGAATATACAAATACTTCATCCCTTCAACACAAAGAGCTTTTAATAATTCTATATCCATACATGACATCCCTCTTCCATCAAACTCTATCCATACACTCAGATGAGCTAGGGTATCTTGTGTGGGAATATTTTTCCTGTACTACATCATCAGTTATC